TGATGCGGAGGATGTCAAAAAAAAGCTCCAATACGATATCTCGAGATTGTGTAATGGGGTAGACCAGCGAGTCAATCAGAGATCGAAGAGGAGAAGCGCCATTCATCGATAACAAGATGAAGCCGGGCCAAGTTTTGAGCATTGCTGCAATAGCCTGAGCACACGTTTTCAATTTTTCCTCATTGCCGCTGAGCAACAGGGGGTCTGTAAACGGAGCAAACATAGCCTCAAACTCCCGGCCGGTGTGTAAGTACTTGCGTTGCTGTGGATGGTCCAGGATGTGGAGAAAGCTAGCGACGAGACCTTCGGGCGCCGGGAAAGAGCCGTCTGCCAGGGCTTCGGTGAGAGTGCTCATTCCATTCGCTGCGACGACCAGTTCTGTGTGTTTCATAAGGAGCTCGGCCAGCGTCAACAGGCATATATCTCTCAGGCGGTCGTCATATGTTTCAGCGACCGCTACCAGACTTCGCACAACAGCACGGGAAAGCTCATAGACGCCGTCTTTCACGTCCAGGAATGCTCGCACAAATTTGACAGCCTGCTCACGTTCCAGCACAGCATTGGCCTTTTTAACCAGTGACAGGATGACCAGTTCGTCTGTACGGAGGGTTCGGATGGTTTGCAATGATTTCCTATCAGCGATAGCGTGTCGAGTCAGTCTGTAGCCTGCTGCAACGACATCGGAACTTTCGCTGAGTAGCATCATCTGAACCCGCTCGCTGAAGACTTTCCAGGCCAGATCATACTTCAGACCAGGGTTGCGCTTCAACAGATCGACCAGAGTATTTGCACGTTCGATGTAGTAATCCGGAGGCATTCCATCTGCTTCGAGTTGTTGAAGGGTTTCAGTAAGGACCACCGTGGGCGACTCGCTGTCGACTGATTCGGTCAGGTCGGGGCCCTGGTTTTGCCCCAAGGGAGGTGATTTAAGCGGGCTACCTCGAAAATAACTGGTAAGCCGCGTGTTCGGGGGGGTGGTCGGGGTCTGAGAGCGCATTATCTCCTGGTCAAGTTCTTGCTTCAGTTCGGCGAGTTTCCTGTTGGAAGAGCCCAACTCCATCTCGACCTTCTGTCGTTGCTCCTTGGTTTGTTTGTTGTTCTTGCTCAGCAACGCCTCGAGCATGTTCTCCGTCCCGAGTTTTATTTTCATCTCCTTTGCAATCTTGTCGCGCACCGCAGCTTGCCGCTGCTCCGACGTAGTAAGAGGATCGGCATCCTTGTATTGCGGCGGCAGACGAGCAAAGGTCACACCTGCCACTTCCGTCTGCGGAGTAGTCCTTCCAGAATGCGTGGGATTTTTGAGATCCGTGCTGAAACTACCTGGAGGATTGGCAGGAGTGAATGCTGGGACGAAAGCCTTTTGGCTGAACTGAGCACTTCCGCCGGACAGTGAGCGTCCATCTTTCATGAAGGGTCTTTGAGAGGCTGAGAAGTCGTCACTTTTCCTAGATGCATGGCGGATATTGAAGCGCCCTTGAGTGGGTGTCACCGAGTAGCCCGACGCTTGATCCGACGAGGCCATCGAGCCATGGAGGGTGTCGACCCTCTGCTAGGTGGTTGATTGTTTTGGGGCTGCGCAGGAGACACCCATAGGTATGTTTGATCGGTTCAGCCGGAACAGGACGAGGGAGCGTCGCGGAATCCGATATTGTGGAATTTAGGAGGCAGCGTCCTGTCTGCAGTTCTGCTTCTGGTTGAATTGTTCATGGGCTTTTCGTAAGTGGTCTGTTTTGGATGAATCCAACGCCGTTCGTTATCTTTGGGCGGCCTGGTACCGGGGATGGCTCTGCGGTTGCGCGGTTGTAGGAGGAGCAAGGAAACGTATCAGCGACAGGTGGTGTCGTACCGAGAATTGATGTACAAAGGATAGAGATGCAGACCAGTGTGTCGACAATTGACATGCAGTGAGTTGTGGATGAACAGTAGTCATTCGAGTCAAGATCCAATCACCAAGTCACAGCGAGATCGGGTTCTAAGGCATGCGCTTGTAGGGAGCGTCTCCCCCCCTGATGATCCGTGTCCGTCCAAGCATTGCGGGGTCGCTTTTTCGGGGGGTGGTTACGGGTAATACGGGGTGTTTAACATGCCCAATCCCAAATCTTTGAGAGCTTTAGGCTATGCTGGGCCCTCGTGGCCCCTCGATCTGTCCCATCCCAAGTCTCGCTAGAGCACATGCAAAAAGATGCCTGAACGAAACATGCCTTGTCCCCAGACTTCCTGTCGTTCGACGACTCCTCTTTAGCGACGGACAAGTCAAACTCCCATCTGCTGAGCACCTAGTAAACGAGGCAGCCGTCATACCGCTCATAGACCGAGATTTCATATTGACATCATACCGCTTTCTCAACGGCCGCCATAAAGATCAACCATATCGTAGCTGCGGTGTCCAGATACCAAATGTCTTGTACTGCATTGGACCAGCCACCAAACTATTACTGGGTAGCGCTCCCGCTCAGGCACGGTATCTCAGGATCTCCAAAAAGAACATAACAGATCTATTATCAGGTGAGCTCGACATCCCCATGTAGATGCTAGTCACCGATAAAGCATATGCTGTCGCCATTGCGCGGGCGCGCGTCTCGGCGACCTCCGTTGTTCATGAGCTCGTACAACAGACCAGTCTTGACCAAATTGCTGGCCGGCCACACCAATCGCCTCTGCTCGATGCGTCTATGATCAGCAGTTTTACAATATCTTTACCCATGGCCACGCATGCAATTGGTGATTCTGGTCGTGGAATTTTACTTCCCTGGCGTCATCCTCCGATAAGAGGTTGTAAGAAGTCTTGATATAAAGAATCTGCGGCGCCGACTCCTCTTTCCCTTGTCTCTTATCCCCTTGTACTCGCTCACAACAGGCGACCAAGATCAGTAGTAGCTTGAACAATCTCAGTGTATCACGTCTACCACCCAAACACATTTACTCAAGATGGCCAAGCTCGCTGCAGCTCGTTATGGCAAAGACAACATCCGCCTGTACAAGGTCGAGAGAGACGAAGCCACCAAGACACACACCGTTTATGAGATGACAGTCTGCGTCTTGCTAGAAGGAGAGATTGATGTATCGTCAGTGATGCTCCTCCGATTTCTACCATGCGTGATATACTGATGTCGCTTAGTTACACCAAAGCCGACAACAGTGTTGTGGTTGCAACCGACTCAATGAAGAACACCACCTACATCATGGCAAAGCAGAACCCAGTCCACCCTCCCGAACTATTCGCATCCATCCTCGGCACTCACTTCATCAACACCTACAAGCACATTCACGCTGCTCATGTTAGCGTTGTCCAACACAGATGGACCCGTATGACGATTGACGGAAAGCCTCACCCTCACTCCTTCTTTCGTGACGGGAATGAGAAGAGACTGGTACAAGCAGATATTATCGAGGGCAAGGGAATAGAAATCAAGTCGGGTATCTCCGACCTTTTAGTGCTCAAGAGCACCGGCTCTGAGTTCCACCACTTTGTCCGAGACGAGTTCACCACCCTACCCGAGGTCTGGGATCGAATTCTCAGCACTTCGGTCGATGCCAACTGGAAATGGTCTACTTTTGCGGGCCTGGATTCCGTGAAGAAGCATGTTTCCAAATTTGATGAGACCTGGTCCAAGGCTCGAGACATCACTTTCCGACTCTTCGCCCTCGAGGAGAGCCCTAGTGTGCAAAACACTATGTATAAGATGTGCGAGGAGATCCTCGCTGCTCAATCTCTTGTTCAAGCAGTTGACTATTCTCTTCCGAACAAGCACTATTTCGAGATTGATCTGAGCTGGCATCATGGCCTGAAGAACACTGGGAAGGACGCCGAAGTCTATGCGCCTCAGTCAGACCCCAACGGCCTGATCAAGTGCACTGTGTCCCGGGACGACACTGCGTTGTCCTCCAAGCTGTAGACAAAATCTGCTCGAGCGTGTTCGGTCACGGAGTTCTGGTGCTGGAGTCATGGGACAGGGATTTCCGGAGAACAATAAACAGGCTGTAAATATCCCGAAATAATCCACCTATACATTTTCGCAAAACCCCGTATGCCTTTCTTTGTCCCTAGAACGCCATAAAAGTACTATTACATTCTCAGTTTATGAGCTCACTTTCGTCTCCTGGTTCGCTGCAATGGCTTGCATGACAGGCCCTGGCTCGTCGCCTGTGAATGGCTTCCCTGCAAACTTCACAATATTGGCCTTGTAGGGATGGCTGGTGCCTTCGAAAACTTTCAACCTTGCCAGCCGTTTATCCCTCAGCCGGTTCTTCGGTAGCATACCCCTTACAGCTTTCTTCAACACCTCTCCGCCACCCCACTTCTCAATCATCCTCTCCATGCTCATCTGTTTTAAGGAACCCGGGCGCGTATTGTGGGTGTAGTATTGCTTTTGTTGGCGTTTTTTGCCTGTAACGTGTATGTCGTGGCAGCCGCAAGCCACGACGTAGTCGCCGCAGTCGGTAGAAGGGTCGTAGATGGGCTTATGCTTGCCCATGAGAAAAACGGCGATGGAGGAGGCTATCCGACCGAGAGAGCGAGAATCGGAGCCTACATCGATATAGTGCCATGTTCGAGAGTAGGCAAGACGGGTCTAGCATCATGACAGGAAGGTTAGGGTGAGACTCAGGCGCAGGTAATGTTTCTGAGAAAAGAGGTTTCGGAACATACCTTGCCTATTGTTTGCGACATGGCCGGCTTAATGCTATCTTGACATGAAAGAGGTGCAAGGTCTGTGTGTAGCTTGTCCCAGGCCTACCGCGATATCACAGGAAACCTTCAAAATACTCGAAGCAGGTTGTTGATTAACATCCTACGTCCTATGGAGCGGTAGAAAGAGTCCGCATTGAGCTTCGAGTCGGAAAATTGCATTAGTACCACAAATGGTTTAGTGCCATAATTCTTGGCGCATGCCCGCACTTTCCCTGCGAAAATCGTCCACCACCAACTCCCAAGAACATTTTCACAATCGAGCAATCCACCCAACTGTACCAGCTCTGTGTAATCGCCGCCAGTCCCCAAGATGTCGGCTCCCCAGAGTGTACAGTGCTTCGGCAAGAAGAAGACTGCTACGGCGGTTGCCCACTGCAAGGTCAGACAAACCCGATGCGCAAGACGACTTTGAGATGGAAAACTGACGAGTCATTTGGGGTTTCTACAGAAAGGCAAGGGCCTCATCAAAGTCAACGGAAAACCTCTCTCTCTCGTCCAGCCGGAAATCCTGCGTTACAAGGTATGATACTGGCTTTCGACCCCCAATCCCTCGCTTCGCAGTTCGTCCAAAACGAGCGAAGTGATTCACCAAGAAATAAACACAGTTGCTCATATTGTTTGTTTCAACTCTCAGGTCTACGAGCCACTCCTGATTGTCGGTCTCGACAAATTTGCCGATGTTGACATCCGCGTCCGCGTTACCGGTGGTGGTCATACTTCTCAGATCTACGCCATCCGCCAAGCCATCTCGAAATCAATCGTCGCTTACTACCAGAAATTCGTCGACGAGTACACGAAGAACCAGTTGAAACAGGCTCTGGTGCAATACGATCGTACACTCCTGGTTGCCGATAACAGACGGTGTGAGCCCAAGAAGTTTGGTGGGCCGGGTGCAAGAGCGCGGTACCAAAAGTCGTATCGTTGAGTGGGACTTGGGCCTGGGAGGAGGATCGGTCGGTGGTGGCTGTGGCGGTGGCAGTTGCGCTGTTACGTGGAAAGCACATGGAATGCTTGCGGTTGTGCTTCTGGTTGACTTGTGAGGACAGCACCATGATTGTCAGTCAGGGAAAAAAGAATGGTGCAAAGATGGAGACATCGAAGCTGTTCCAAAACACCTACGAAAGGAGCATCATACGGCTCGTCAAGCCGATGAGATCCGATTCCGCCTATTATGGGTCACTCATCGAGGCGCAAAGGCTTGTGGTCGGACATGCAGCCAACTGAAACCGGAATAAATTTCTCGTTCAAAAGATCTCTTATTATCACGCTTGAATGATCGTTCGAATGTGACTCGCACTGCTTTCTTACGTGATGCTGATGTCAAGTCTCAACGATGACCGGCGCGTACTCACCAGTCTCTTCATCTTCGTCAACGCCGTGCATGGTAACCTCGACTCGCTCGCCATCCTCTAGCTCAAACATTCCTCTCCTCAACGTGTCCCTTTCACTCTGCCATCCATACTTTTCTTCGAACAGTCTCTCCAAACCATCAACTTCTCTTCTCAGCGAGTCTCTTTGGTCCTTGTCCACGTCGTCCACCACCGCCCTGAACCGAGCCCACAGCGTCCTCAGCCAAGCGCTTCCAGATTCGTCCCTCAGCTCGAACAGCCCGCCTTCGACATCGTCCACATGCATAATCTGCAGACGCAGCACTCTGACCACCTGCACAAAGTAGCCTTCCGCTTCGTCCAGCGCGGTGCGGCAGGTGAAGAAGACGGTAAGGAGCCGCTTCCACTGCTCGAGACAGCTGTAGTTCGCGAGCGTGAGCACCATCAGGAAGCAGAACTGTAGCTCCCCGAGCAACTCGCGCGCACCCTGCGCTCTGTCTCCGCCGGCCCCGTGAGCGGCTTGCTCGATCAGTTGGCTAGGTACCAGCTCCGGTCCCGTGCCCTGTCCGTCCTGGCCCGACCGATGTCCCCGCCCGCCCACGTCTGTTTGAGATTGACCGGCAGCAGATCGAGGGGTAGTTGATCCAGGGCATTCGAGGCTTCGAGGTGCGAAAGGCCCGGGATGGTCTCGGTGTCACTGGGTGCAGAGGATATTGACGAGATGATCCAGTCTGGGGAGAGAATGCGCGTGAGAAGCGAAGAAGAGACGTACGTTGTCAGAGCGGGCCAGTCTGTGCTTTCTGCGCGGCCGTCCTCGTCGTCAGCCGCTGCTGCTGCTGCCGCCTCGGATGTATCGCGTCCCTTAGATTCTCCTGCAGATAGCTCCGAAGTCGCGCTCTGTAATGCTGCGTAGTCGACTAATCCGCGGCCGTCCGAGACAGCAGCGATCGCATTCCGTGCGCCTGGATCATTTTGGTCCACCACCTGCAGGGACTCTCCGTCCCGGTTCCATCGCAAGACTTGAATTGGGTTTGTAGAATTCAAATTCAGCCATCTCCCATGTCGGATCGACAGAGAGGCATCGGTTCCAGTGTACAGAAAATGAAATCCCCAAGGAATTTTGGCGATACCGTGAAAGTTGGGCGAGGAATTGAATGACACTAGATCTAGGCCGACGAAAGTCTTGGGTGGGAGTGAGAGGATGATCAACATCGAGGAATTTTGTGAATCCATAACCAGTTAATCCTTTTGGTTGGGGGGAAAGAGAAATAAAAGGAGAGACGGGCTTGGCTACGAGGTGGAAAGTCTACGGACGCGAAAGTTGCGATGAAGTTTTGTCTTTTGATTTCATCATTGCATGCACGTATTCCTCGTTGCGATCATTTGACCGCAGAAGAGTAGCAGCATTGAAGACCAGGCACAAAGGGCCGTTCTTCGCGTATTTGAGTCCACCCTCCCCGTCTCCTGCAGAAGCGTTTTTGGGCTGTTTCCCCCAGCGGCAAGCTGCTACCAGGGAATAAAAGCAACAGTTGTACACCCGAGTCCAGCGCACATGCTCACAGACGACGACCGCGACGACCGCCCTTGCGTCTCGTGCTGTCGGATGGCGTGGGAGTAACATCCTCGATTCTTCCGATTCTCATACCCGAGCGAGCCAATGCACGCAGAGCCGATTGAGCACCAGGGCCTGGGGTTTTTGTGCCGTTTCCTCCAGTAGCCCGGATCTTGATGTGAAGAGCGGTGATGCCGAGTTCCTTGCATCGCTGAGCAACGTCTTGAGCTGCCAACATGGCAGCGTAGGGAGATGACTCGTCACGGTCGGCCTTGACTTTCATGCCTCCTGTAACACGGCAAATGGTTTCGCGGCCACTGGAATCACCCAGAATGTTAGCCTTTTGAACCATCTGCACCTTTCCCGATATACGGCATTGCTTCATTGTGGTTCTTTTCACTTACGAGAGATCGGTAACATGGACGAAGGTATCGTTGAAGGAGGCGAAGATGCGGGCAACGCCAAAGACGAGTTCACCTGGGCGCAATATTTAGTACAAGAATCCATGCGCAACTTTGCTCAATTTCACTCACCTTCTCGCACCTGAGGGCCGAGGGAGATGTTCTCGGTGGCGGCGCGCTCGACCTTCTTCTTGGGAGGCATTTTGAATTGTTGTTGTTGGTTGTAGGAGTGGACTGGCGAAAGACAGGAAAGAATAATTTCGACGATTTTGAGATTTTGATGGGGAAACTGCTTGGTGCGTGGGAGCGGGACAGGTCCGCCAGTGTATTTCACGCTAGTCCAAATCCTGTCAATATGTCTTGGCGGAGAATTGAGGACGTCGCTTTGAAACGAAGCTCACCACTCATTGCGCTGGCCAGTTCACCACCATTAATGTAGTTCCAATTTGGTTCTCGCCTGCGTCAAGAAGGACTTGATACTAGGAGCACTGATACACTCTTGATAAAGACGGTTCGATTATCGACTAATACTTAAGCTACACAAGCACCAGAGGATGAACTGCTACTTGTAGTACATACATCGCTGTGTGGTCGCTCACATCTTCTAAAAGCAGAACCAGGATCGGGGCGAAAATGCTTGAGCTGGCTGCCATGTTATCATGATCAATGTGTACCTCGTACAAGTAGAACCTTAGCGACTTTGAGTCGCCTGAGCATTGACCCCAATCGTGCCAAGAGCCAATTCTAGATGAGGATTAGTGCCTTGGCGTCTTAAGAAAACTTTCTCCCGTTCCCATCTTCAACGCGACTTTCGTTTTGTTCAACAGCTCAAAGTGCTATACTTTCAATTTGTGCTAGGTTTAATGATCGTTACGTCGATGGCCTGCTGCAGTGATATATCTACTAATGTCCTAGTGCCCTATTGAGAAGAGATAGCGACCCAGGGCAACCCCAAATTGAAAAGTCAACAACACCCGAGTTGTCCCTCCCGCACCGTGAGTCATGGAGGGCATTACGGTCGGGATCATTGGGATGGGTGACATGGGCCGTATGTACGCAAGAAGATTCAGTCAAGCTGGATGGAGGTACGAGAATGCAGTGCATGTTTTTTGAAAAGATAATGCGCGCTGAATGTCTGTTGCCCAAGGTATGTTGGCTTGTTTTCTCTCATTATCTTCCAAGGATGACTCTGAGTGCATTTGGCTCGAGCATGGTCGTTGAGATATTGCTTTCATCATTCTGATGTAGCATCCTATCCCAACGGCCGTCACTGATGTAAAACCCTCGCTACCTTAAATTTTTCTTGTCTGATGGTTATGCTATCTGTTGCTACAATCTACCACATCAAGTTCCCAGAGGATTCTTAGCTGACCTTTTTGCGCCGATAGACACGAAACCCTTACTGTTGTCCTCTAAAAACATAGAACTGATGGTTAGCCATGCAGAGTCAACGCTTGCGATCGACCAGACAAGTTCCAAACTCTACACGAGGAGTACGCGAATGAGGTTTGTGTCGTCAGCAGAGTTGATGAACATGATTGACCAAGATTAGAAAGGAATAAATATCTTGCCTAATGGTCATCTTGTTTCCCGAGCCAGCGACTGGATCATATACAGTGTCGAGGCTGAGCTCATTGACAAGATTGTTGCTGAATATGGCCCGTCCACCAAAGTCGGTGCCATTGTTGGTGGACAGACCTCTTGCAAAGCGCCTGAGCTGGCTGCCTTTGACAAGTACCTGCCCGACGACGTTGAGATTGTTTCTTGCCATTCCCTGCATGGCCCCGCCGTAGACCCAACAGGCCAACCCCTTGTCGTCATTCAACACAGAGCGTCTCAGAAAAGTGTTGATCTCTGTGTCCGAATCCTCTCTTGCCTGAATTCCAAGTTCGTCTTCTTGTCGGGGGAGAAGCATGACCGCATTACAGCAGACACGCAGGCTGTTACGCATGCTGCGTTTTTGAGCATGGGAACCGCGTGGGCGGCGAACAACCAGTTCCCGTGGGAAATCGATCGATATATCGGTGGCATCGAAAACGTCAAGATTAACATCACTTTGCGCATCTATGCCAACAAGTGGCATGTCTATGCTGGGCTCGCAATTCTCAACCCTGCAGCGAAAAAACAGATTCGACAGTATGCTGAGTCCGTTACCGAACTCTTCAAGCTCATGCTGGGTGGCCACCGAGAGGAGCTGTCCCGGCGGATTAAGACGGCTGGTGCGGCAGTCTTTTCCAAAGACGCTGTTGATCAAGATCTATTGCTTGGGGATGATGTGTTGGACAAGTTCTCGCTCTCACGAAGACCTAAAGAAAGAATGCCAAACAACCACCTGAGTCTGTTGGGCATTGTCGATTGTTGGTGGAAACTCGGCATCGTTCCATACGACCATATGATTTGCTCCACGCCTGTGAGTATATTCCTTGGCCTAGTTCTGTTACTATTTCTGACAACCCAACTCCTAGCTCTTCCGAATCTGGTTGGGGGTCACTGAGTATCTGTTTCGCAACGAGACCTTGCTAGATGAAGTAATCAACACGGCAATCGAAGATGACACATTTCGTTCGGACGATCTTGAGTTCACCTTTGCGGCAAGAGTAAGTCTCTCCAATGTGGCATAGCCTGACTTTGTCTATCTGCATGTCCTCCAGGAAAATGCACCTGTCTTTGGGCAAACTCAAAGTCAAGTGTTATCTCTACCCTTGATGGGGTGTCGCCTCAAATCAACATAGGCTAATGATAGTGGTGTTTGACCGTAGGCATGGTCTGAATGCGTTTCGTTCGGCGCATTCGAAGCATATCGGAGCCGGTTCGAAAGAATCCAACAATACTTTGCCCCGAGATTCCCCGACGCTGTGAGACTTGGGAACGAAATGATCAAGGAAATCATGGTTAAGACGAAAGACTGACTCGTAGAGGGGGTCCCTCGGCGAATGGGAGAGTGGTGGGGAGGGAGCCCGGGGTTTTGTGAGGGAGTTGGGTATCATAAAATTCATCAGGGCCCGGTCCAGTGAAGGTCCTGCAATTCCGAGTCTTCGATGCGATCAACAGTGACGCCAATAACCAAGTCGAATTGCTTTCCTGTTGACCGGGCAAGGGCCGGCAAGGGAATGGTGGCTAGGAAGGGCCAACTCTTGCCTTTTTCAAATAGGAGAGGCTTTGCCGGAGAAGCATGACTAACCAAACAGAACGACCCCAGATGGGTGCGAGATCCTTCATGCCAAAAATAATGGACTCGACACAGCTACGAATTAAAAGAGGGGATTTCGCCTCCCCAGATGGCAATATCAGCTGCTTGCATTATATTAGTTTTGATGATCTCTAGAACAGCGATTGGCTGGGGAAAGGTTGCCGCAAAGTTCCAGAGGAGACCAAACCATTGCTGTGCGCATGCCGTCGACTCGAGTATCGTAAGTCATTCCGTGCACCTCACAGCATTATCGAAGTGCATAGATAGTGAGATGCTTTGCCGACTTCCAATCATCAGCGAGGACCGTCTTATCCGTCGCTGAAAGGCATGAGGAGTGCCGCCGCGGCCCGTACAATTCCGGAAATAATGGGGAAGTTGAACAGACAAGTTGCCACACAGAAATCCTTCCTGACCTCATAACTGTTTCCAGCCGCCGTATATAGGAACTGGGCCACATTGCGCATCTACACACACTGCGCCCCTCTCCGTGGTTCCTACTCTGTACAACATGGAACGGTGGGATCATTTAGCCGGCCTAGGACTTGCACGTTTGAAGATCTGAGCCGTCGATCAAACCCAACGAGATCCAATCACAGGCTCTGATATATCGCAGGATGCTTCTTTGTGCGACGCAACCGATTCCCAGACACCAGAACGGGAAAAGCCAGCATGCCGAGCCCTACAGGTACGACGACAAGTAAATACTTGCATGTATCTGTCCAAATACTCCTCCCTAACTCAAATATATCCCCTAACGCCGCAGCCAATCGGGCAGCAAGAGATTACCATTGCCATGCACCTGCGCCGTGCCCTGTGGAGGTGGGCGGGTGCCAAGCCTTGCGCTAGACAGATAAGCGGTGGATTAGCGTGGATTATTTCGGAGCCGTGCCCAATCAAGTTAGATGTGTGGGTTGCTGATCCCCTTTCCTGGTCGTTCAGTCCCTGTGGATGATTTCTATTTATTGTCTGTCATCCAGCCTTGTACGTTCGCCGCGCCGGAGTCACTCCGTGAAGACCTTTGGTCGTTTTTCGGGAGGTATCAGGTCCACATTGAGGTGATGCACGCACTGTGTTGGGTATGTCGACAGCCAGTTCTTTGTTATGCGACGAGATATCTGCTGTTGCACGGTGCCGCGTAATTGCCATGGCGGGCCGTATGAAAGAATCCTTCCCAAACAGGGGTCGGGGTTTTAGGAAAGCGTCGCATGTAGCTCTCCTGAAGCCCCTTGGCAAGCCACGGAACGCGCAATCAAGCCATCCCCTCTCTGACGTGCAATCTGCCCAAGGTTTTGAACATGGCTCGCACTCCTGGAGATGATCAAAGAATTAAAACCCCCCCCTTTGACTTCCGTCGCGTGTTTCGAAACTCCCCCATATCTTCAACCAACGCGTCGAGCAGAGAAAGGCTTATATCCTTCCCTGACCCTGCAAACAATTCCTCATTTCTTGACTCGTAGCAGAATTTGACGAGACCCAGTCTGCTCGTTATCACCACACTATCTACCGACTTCTGATTGTATCGACCTTGTTGGAGCACGATGGTGCAGAAAGGCGTCTTGGCTTTGGCCACCCTCGGTACGCCTCTCGCGGTTCTGCCATTGACACATTATACTGACCCTGGCCGCAGTGGCTGGCTCCTCGGCACAATTTGCACAGTATTCTACGAGTAACTACGCGGTAGCAGTCAATGTGCCGTCAGACACAGCCTCCTCCGGCAGCGGCTCAATATTTCTGCAAATCAGTGCCCCCAGCGGCACCCAATGGGTCGCATTTGGTCAGGGCACTGGCATGTCAGGGGCCAACATGCTCGTTGTATATGCCGCCGACAGCAACAACGTGACTGTCTCCCCCAGATTGGGCACCGGGCATGTCCAACCACGGTTCAACTCTGACGCCCAGGTCTCACTACTGGAAGGAAGCGGTATCGCCTCGGATGGCTCGCTTGTCGCCAACATTCGCTGCGACAGCTGCCTGAGCTGGAGTGGTGGTAGTATGAGCCCAACGGATTCTTC